AGGTGGAGGGGTGGGAGGGGGGAAGATTGGCCACAGCATGCGCATGCGGAAGTGCTCACCAGAGGCCTTGAGCTGGGGGGAGGAGGAGGGGCAGAGGGGTCGCCACAGATCCCTGTGAGTGTCCCCCACCAGGATGAGAGAAGAGCTAAGCCCCGGCCAGGCCCAGGAGGGAGGCCGGTTTAGGACAGCGACCATCAAGAGTAGGAGGTCTGCTCCCCCGCCCTCACGCTGGCCTCCTTCCCCCTGCTCCAGGTCTGGGAGCGGCGGCGGGGGCATTCGGTGCCGTTAGTGGTCACTCGAAGCTTTGACTCTTCTACAACACACGGCATTCCAATTCCTGAACGGGGACCACGTTTGGCAACGTAAAATGACTGCACGGTTTCTCTACTCCCCAAGGGTGCCCAGGAAAGCGGTGGATGCCTGCAGGTGAGTTTCCATCCAGGGGCAGGGGAAGTTCTCCCACTGATCACCTCTTGAACAGTGGACGACAAAATCGCTTGGTGAGTCCGTGCCTGGAGCCATGCCATTCAGCTCACCTGTCACCGGTGCACGTGAGCTGTGCCGAAGTCGGGGACAGTTGGAGGGCTGGGGAGGGCCGGGGGGGGGACAGTTGGGAAGGACAGGGAGGGGAAGACCGGGCCCGGCTCATCCTTGCATCTGGAGTCTGGAACTGTGCCTGCGGGCGCTCTTTGCTGAATGAATGATTCACGCCTTCCTCCCCACCTTCCTCCCTGGAACAGCTAACCCCAGGACACCTGTGCAGCAGCCCCCCTTCCGGAGGCCTTCTCACCTCCAACCCCTTCTTGTTGATGAATCAAGCCCTCCACGAACTCAGATAACCTGAGCCGCCAGCTGTCACTTGCAACCAAAAGCGCTCAACACGGACGTGCGCTCACCCCTCTGTCACGCTTCCCTTCTCGATGTTCCCTCCCCTACGTCTCTTTGGGAAATACAGAAACAAGAAACGAAAACCAAAAGTATCCTCACCTATGACAGTCTAGTTAGAACAAAGGACACGAGCTCCCAGAGAATGACCCGTGAACGGCTTCTACAGATGAAAGCAGGTTCAGCCTCACTCAAGTACAGGAACGCAAACTGAAGGTCCGACTGCCAACTCCGCAAAGATGAAGAAAACTTTGATAGAGCTCAGCGTTGGCAGGGGCCTGAGGAAGTTGGCACCCTTCCTCTCCAGGAGAAATGTCAATTTCTTCAGCAGACGATTTGGCAAGATGTTTCAAGCACACACTCAACAAGGGAAAGAGATTAATGTCACGGGTGACCGTGGCGAGGCAATGCAGGAAAGAAATCCTAATGACCAACAGGTATCTAGGAAAAATGTCCACCATTACCAGAATCAAAAGCCAACTAAAACTAGATGTCTCTCTTTACATTTTTTTTTTCCTTGCTGCATTGTCAGAGTTCAAAATCAAATCACACCTCGTCTCACTCGGGGGAACAACGAAGCAGTCTTACCTCCCAGTGAGACTAAAAATTCTTTCAACTTTTTTGGAGGGCAGTTTGGAAACACATCTCAAGAGCCTTAAACATGTTGAATCTAGAAATGCCTAAAAAGATTTGTGAATGAGAACGCTTATTACAGCACTACTTGTAATGATGAAAGCTGGAAACATTCAGTGGCGTTAACTATATAATGTTTTTAAGAGGTATTTTTAAAACCTTAACAGTATATCATGTTCCTCACGAACCTAGCAAAATCAGGGTGTGATCCTCACGTACGTAAACCAACAACTGCCGTTCTGTTAGCTTTTCATTCTCAGTGTTCTCTCCGAGGTTTCTGAGGAGTGCCATCTCCCAAATGCCCAGCGTGGCATTTCATCTGCCCTAAGCTATGTCCCGGTTCTTGATTGGGGGGATGGCACCAGGGGAGTATTTGGAAGGCACTGTCCTAAGCGGTAATAAATCACCTAAACTGGTAACAGTGTATGTAAAGTTCCAGCACCACTGTCACCTATCTTCTCGACCACCCTGCGATACCAGAGGGCTGGGGTGCCAGATGGGAGGGAAGGACAGAAAAATCCTCACTCACTCTGGGGAGCTGAGACAGTAGTGTCGCTCAGGGCTTTCCACTCCAAAGGCCAAGTATGTTCTGCCTCTTCCGGGCTAGAGGTCTATCATCAACCCTCCAGACCCGGGAGTTCAGAAGGTCATTACTAGGCCACCTACCGTGAGCCCAGACAAGAGGCAGGAGTAGGGGGAAGGGGGAGGGGAGACAAACAATTACAAGACCCTCCAGAAAGAATGCCCAGAAGGTCTTGAGCAAGATAAGAGATGAAGTGAAAGCATACCGTATAAACGCATGCTCATTGTGAACACACATAGCACAGTTGGTATTTTTACCATTTGATGGGGAGTAAAGATATTCCTAAGGGCTTCCCTAGGACCCACAGCCTAGATCCCCGTTCTCTACACCTGCAGGCTGGGGGGAGGTCATGGAGAAATGCCAGACACACGGCCCTTAGAACTGAGATCACCGTAATTCAGGTAAGAGGAGGGCAAAGTGTATCTGTACCGGATGTTTGGTTGATTAGCCAACTGAACGGGGTGGCGGAGGAGAAAACAGTTCATTGTTGCGGTTTATCCCAGGAAGGCCCTCCTGCGGCCCATCTCCAGCCTGGCACTGCTTTCTGATGGATGCCCGCCCCCTAACCAAGGGTTCTTCAGAAGCCCAGCATCAGTTTGCAAACAGACCCCCAGACTCGGTTCTTCGACCACCAGGAAGGGAGGTCTCTGTGGCCTCAAACTTCCTTCTCTGGGGCCAGGAGTACCTGTGAAAGCCTGGCCTTCCCCATCTTCAGATTATTCATTTCCTTCAGGCCAGTCTAACTCCTACGGTGCGCACACAAGTTCCTGCTGTGATCCTTGTGGGTGAGGTACCATCGGCCTGAATGGCTCGTGAATGCCTAGCATGTCACACGCACCACGGACCTCTCTCGGCAAACACAGGGCAAGGCCGGATCTGCACTGTGACTGCGGCCCTAGCGGGTGCACCTCACTTCACCACCTGGAGTGGCAGGACTGGTACTGAATCTAGACCCAAGTCCGGAACGACGCACCTCGTTATTCTGCAGCATTTACGTGGCACTGTGAAGTCCTTGGGCATCACAGGCTTGGGGGGGGGGGGGGGGGGCGGGCTCTAGAAACTTCCAGTATTGGACCCAAATCTCCCAGGTCCTCAAAGGCAACACAGCAGCACAGCCAGGCTTCTGATCTTTTATTTTCTACGTTTATTTCCGATTATTTATTCGTACAATCCTCAGTGGTCAGGTTTGCTAAAGGGATCAACAGTGAAGCCCTGAGTCAGCTCCGCCTCCAACAGTGAAGACCTGACTCAACAAGTCACAGAAGGAGCTCCTGCCCACCCCGCCCCCGCCCCGCCCCCAGCACCCAGGCCTCCAGCCACAGAGGCAGGGGCGGAGCACAGCCCCAAACTGACCCAAGGCTCTGGAGCATCCTTCTTGGGGCAGACGTTTTTGACAAAGGCTAACATTTTTACAGTGTAAACAGAGGAAGACTTTGCTAAACAAGCCCAGAGGAGTAGGGCCTGAGCTCCCGGCCACGCCCCCTTCCCAGCCCAGCCCACAGGGAAGGACACACATTGCCAGAGGCAGAAGTTGGCTGATAGCCTCTCCAAATTCACAATACTGAAAGTCAGAAGCTGCTACAGTGCAGGTAACACCACCAAAATATTTTCATAAAACAACGGAAATGAGGAGGGAGCTCATTAGATACATTCATTTTGGCGTTGTTCCCTCATCGAAATACTCAGAAGTAATCAACATTCCTGTGGACTGCTGTGGTTCCTGTAAAGGGGACCAGATTTTAGCACCGTTTATGGGCATACAGATCAAGGCATTTCTTATTATAGAAAAACTCCTAGAATTTAAGTACAAAATATTATTTTGAAGTTCATTATTACTCTCAACCACTCCTGGTTACTAGAAGAATGACCGCTAAGACCGTAGATATTTCGAGCCCTGTAACCTTTCCTTGTATTAACCACATTCTGGCGATTGCATTCCTGATCCAGACTTAGGGCCAAGAAATCAACATGACAGACGAAATTCTAGCCCTGGCTAGTAATGATCATTAAAAATATTTAAATACGCAGATGGCCATAAGGCCTGGGAACAGTGACATTCCATAATAAATGGTTTGCTGATAGGATATTTCAACGCAATTAACGTATCTGTGTTTCCAGACTTAAAGGCCGTTCTGCATAGTTTAATTATATGTACTAACCCATTCCGCCATTCCTAGTAATAAATTTCAATATTCTATGAAAAAAATACAAGTGGCACGGCTCACCTTCCCCCTCCCAAGTGCTGCCGGGTCCCCTGCTGTGGCGAGGCACACTCGCCCCTCCCCGCCCGGGGTGGGGGTGGGGGCTCTAGAGGAGCCCACCTCGCCCCCACTGCTAGCGGCCACCAGCGCTGGCAGACAGCCAAACAGGGTTAGTTTTGTGCTCTTCCAGGCCCTAAGTTATAAACTGAATGACAAAGGCTTTAATCTTCCATTGCCCCTGTCTTTACTCTCTGCACAACTCAGTATTGGGTCCCTGGTCTCTCCACCTCCTCAGGAGAGATCATCAAGGTTTTCCAGAAGAGTGAAGCATTAAATATTACACGAGCAAAATTTAACACATTGTAGGAAAAAGGCTTTGCAGAATCCATACATAGAAGTCCTTCTACTCATTCAGATTTTTATCTACGTATAACATAGGCCCAGGAATGTCGGGCATCCATTGTTTTGTCTTTAAGTGACATTTTTACCCTAAAATCAGTTCCTTCTTCAATTCACTTCTTACAGTTCCTTGGGCTGTTTTTCAGTTAGTTACTTGACACTGTGCTCTGCCTTTTGCTAAACAGTCTGGGGATTCTATGCCCTTCACACACATTTCAGATTCACTTCACACACACAGAGGGCCTCCTTTTCATGGTGTTTTAAGTAGTCACAGATTTCTACCTGTGCCTACAAATAAGATTCCCTGGAAGTTTATACTTCTGGGATTTCAAGGGGGGGGGGGGGGGAGTCCTTGCAAAATACTGCTTAATAAAGAGAGGAAAAATAATCAACTGTTGTTTTAACATCAGAAAGAGACAGGGGAAGTCTACTGGAGTCCTACGCAAAGGCAGCAATAGTAAGGGCGCTAAATCATTAGAGGCCATGGATAGAGCACTTTACAGGTGTCATCTGGACACCTTCCAGAAGCAGACTGCAGACCATGAGGGGAGCCAGCAACTTGGGCAGAGATGCGGGGCAGGAGGGAAAACACAGCCTCGTAAAAAAAAAAAAAAAAAAGCACATAAAAACCCACAAAAGTTGCTTCTTCTGGCGGAGGTGTTAAGACTTGTGTGGCCTGAGATTTTTACCTGACTGATAATCCTTACAACCGGAAGGAACAGAATAATGAAAGGAGACAAAGGCAATGCCTGAAAACTTTCATCAGCCCTTACCTGACACGACAGCGAACATCTAATAAAAGAGTAAAGGCCTTAAAAAAAAAAAAAAAAAAAAGAGTAAAGGCCTATACAAAGAAAGCGGGTCAATCCTGTTCTGCATGTCTAAAACATTTCCGGCTATGCCATATTCTAAGGAAGGGGAACTGCAAACATTTCAGATCAAACCCCACCTAGGCCTAGATCACAAGTGAAAAACCACACATTGGCCTCTCGTCCCCCATTGTGGCCGTCGTCAATCACTGTTCCACGGGTCCAAGTGAAATCAGCGTATGTTGTGTATGTAGATGTTGCTAAGCAGGTGAGGAGAGGAGCCAGAAGAAAATGTCCTGAGGAAGCAGTGTTAATTCCAGGGAACTTGTTACAGGGAAATCCTTTCAGGTTTAAATGTACCTTAAATGAGCTCAACAGTAGAAGTCACACCTGCTTAAACTGGAGATAATCTTCCCGCCAAGACTACAGGGTCCAAAACGCCTGAAGTCTCTCAATAAACTCTGGGGATCAAAGTGGGCTCCGTGTGGTCACCACTGAGTTCTCTTCTTCTAGAACGCTCTATCATTGTAGAGACCCCTCTAAGCAGATTATCCTGCATCTATTTTGGTCTCAACGCAATTCCTATTCTACTGCTGTCCCCCGACCAGCCCGAGATCAGGAATGATTAATGGAATTAAGATTCTGGGCAACTGAAGGTGCACGTGGCAACAAAGAATGTTATTTTTTAAAGTCAGCCGATCATCTGTATTTCCTGAAATATGGTTTCTTTGGAAGTTTTGCTTCTCAGATGCTGGGATCCCACTAAGCCTGGATAACAGTCTGAGGGCAGAGTCCAGTAAGGCGCTGGGACAGAAAGCAACTCAAACACATGGTTTCAAACTTTCATCAATGTGGTGGTGAAGACCACGGTTTCTGCACTCTAACAATATCACACACAGGAACAAGAAAAAAGGACGTATGTAAACAAGTTGCCCAGAAATCCAGTTCAAGTTCACGAAGACTAAAACACTGTTGACACGCAAAGACACAGGATCATGAGTATTATTAAATTCAACAGCAGGTATGAACCAACAGCCAGAGGCAACGCAGCCCGGACAGAGACCTTCACGGCCCTGTGCCTAAACATGTTAAGTGTGCTTTAAAAAATGTTCACGAATGAAGAGTAAGCATTTCCTGTTGTAGAGCTACAAATACTAAAATGAAGCCTCGAGGCCGCTAAGAAGTCCTTATTGTTAATTTGGCTTCTAGGTACCTCCTTGTTTAAGGAACCATCCCGTCTCACAGCCAAGACCACAAAATCTCTGCCACACATTCACACGCATTTAGAACAGAGCTTGATTCAAACACTCTAATGAATACACTTACCGAAGTGTGGTGAACAGTACTGAGGGAGTAATGGGGGATTATTAACCTAACAGTCTGCCTAGCTCTGTGTGTCCTCTGAGTTTTCTCATGAGAATTTTAATTTTTCAGTACAAAGCAAAACTAAATCTTCAAAGAAGGTTTGCCACTCCCAAAAGGTATTTGCTAGCTTGCTAACTATGCTAAATTGAATCAAATAAGCTGGTAATTACCATGAAATAAAGCCCAGTACCTCAGGGAAACTCTACGCCCACAAACGTTGGGTGGGCACTAGAGGCGTCCGGTCCCGCGAACACGCTGCACGGCCCACGCCCCGCGCGGGTGATCCAGACCCTCGCCGCCTGCAACCAGGCCCGTCGCCCCGCCGGTCACCAGCCAGGCCTCGGTGCAGGCGGCCACTGAGAGCCAGGAACGTCACCTCCTCCCTCGGGCTTCCCAAACCAAACCACAGGCAGCCGCGGCTCCGCCACACTCCGGCGCTCGGCTTTGGTACGCGCCTCTGCTTAACCTTGCTCACGGACCCTCCTGGACGCTTTGCTGTTGTCGCCCACCCCCCACCAGGTACTCAACTCTGGCAGCAGAGGCAGCCTCAAAACCACACCATGAAAAGGGCACACGGGCCAGTCGAGATCTCGCTCCTTCTCGCCTCCGAACACAGACGAGTGCCCAGCACCGTCTGGCCTCGGTTTCCCTCTCTAAAACAGCAGGTGGATCTCAGCTCCGTTCTGACTATACAACGGCGCATCTGTGAAACAGGGAAGAACCAACGGCCCAACGCCCGAACTCACCCAGCCGAAAGCGCACCACCTGCACGAAGCACCAGGCCAGGCGCGGCCATGACCTCAGGCACCTGTCACGCTCTCAGAGTCAGGAGTGATGTGCCACCACATCCCTCCTACAGCTTTAAATATCTCATTTTTGGACCCAGTGTTCAATCTTCTATGAGACAGTCTGCTTAGGATAGCTTTAATGAACATGTAAGCCCGAACCAGTGCTCAGGAAGACTATCAGAGGACGTTATGACTGTGCCCCTAACAGGCTCCGCCTCAGTTAGGCCACGTAAGCCGAATTGCATAGGACGGGCACTCCAGAGACCCATCACCCCCAAAACAAAAAATGACTACCTTGAGAAAAAACTGAGACCAGTTTACATTAGAGAGTCTGCTTCTGAGACGTGAAGAACACACTCCTCTCCGAGAGGCGTCTCCTCTGATACAAAAGGTTTGTTTTATGGAGAAGATGTAGTTTGTACCTTCCAAAAGAAGTGCTCTGAAGGCCCCCGAGGAAACATATCGCATCAAAAATGAGGGAAAACCCCTGGTTAGTTCTAACGACCAAAAGCCGTCCTCAGAATAGCCCAGTCCAGCTTGGCTCGCCCGGCCCGACAGTCCCCGTGGGTCACCCGAAGAGACCTGGAAGCCCGCGGGCCGCGGCAGGGAGCTGCCAGGGCACCTCGGCCGTGTGGCCGGGCCGTCCGGGTACGCGTCCCTCACAGACTCGTCTCCTCGCACACTCTGACGGGGATGTTGTAGTGCCGGTCGTCCTCGGCGATCAGGGTCACCACCGGCCAGTCCGTGGGTGGGTCGGTGGGGTAGACCGTGATGAATTCTTCGGTGCTGTACTTGGAGAGCCGGTACACCCGGATGGTGTGGCGCACGGCATAGGCAAGAAGGAACATTTCCACCTGGGGAAAAGAGCCAACGGGTCTGCGGGGGGAAGCTGTGCTGAAAGACACAGTCCCACCTGCTCCCTCCCAGGCTGCGGGCAGCAACCCTCCTTCCCCGCCCTGGGCCCGGCCCCCGGCCTTTCCCCCACAGTCGTTACAAAGAGCAGATCATCAAAAATGGACTCACCGTCCGGTAAATCTGGGACTTGTATCCAGAATGTATGACAAACTTTTATAATTCAACAATTAAAAAAGCAAGCGATCGGTTTAAAAATTGGGCAAAGGATGTGAAAAGAACAGACATTAATCCGAAGAAGATATGCAAATGGGCAATGAGCACCTGAAAAGTCATCAGGGGACCGCAGACCGAGGCCACACTGAGCTACCACTTCACGCCCCCCAGAACAGTTAGGATCAAACAGGTAAGAACGAGGCACGACCACTTAACAGGTACCAGGTTTTCTTGTGGAGTGATGAACGTGTTTTGGAACTCGACACAGGTAGTGGTCACACAATGCTTAAATGTACCAAGAGCCACTGAGTTATATACTTTAGAATGGGGTTAATTTTATATGAACTTCAATTAAAAAAAAGGTGGGGGGGGGCGCGTGGGTGGCTCAGTCGGTTAGGCGTCCGACTTTGGCTCAGGTCATGTTCTCACAGGTTCGTGGTTTGAGCCCCATATTGGGCTCTGTGCTGACAGCTCAGAGCCTAGAGCCTGCTTCGGATTCTGTGTCTCCCTCTCTCTGGCCCTCCCCCTGCTCACGCTCTGTCTCACTCTCTCTAAAATAAATTAAAAAAAAAAAAAAAAAAAAAAGAAGTACATCTTAGGTACATACCCAAGAGAAATGAAAATATGTGTCCACACAAAAAACCTGCATATAAACGTTCATAACAGGATCATTCAAAATAGCTAAAAAGTACAAAGACCCCAAATGTCCATCAACTGAAGAATGAATGTGATACAGCCATACGATGGAATACTGTTAGTGATACACGCTACAATATGGATGAATCTGGAAAACGTTTTGCTAAGTGACAGAAGCAAGTCACAAAAAAACACGTATTGTATGATTCCATTTATCGGAAATGTCCAGAATAGGCAAATCTATAGCAACAGGAAGTAGACTAGTGGCTGCCTAGGGCTGGAGGGGGGGGGGAATTAGCACCAATCATTACAGGATTTCTTTTTGGAGTGATAAAATGGCCTAAAATTAGACTACAATGATGGCTGCAAAACTCTATAAAAATACTAAAAACCACTGAGTTACGCACTTCAAAAGGGTAAACTTTATGGTACGTAAATTATGTCTCAATAAAGCTGTTATATTTTAAAAATGGACTCGCCATATGACAGTAGACTTTGTGAGGACTCAGAACGAACTTCGGTCTAATTTGCAAACCAGCTGCACCAGACTTTTTACTGAAGGCAAGCGCTACGGTTCAGGAGACGTAAGCAGCCTACACTACGAGTGCAGATACTTTTTGTAAGCAGTTCTTTTTGTAAGTCAATTCTGCCTGACCCAGCAGTGACCTTCAGCCTTTGCTCTTTCTTACACACCAGGAAAAGGTAAGCGCAAGTGGGCAAGTGGGTCTCGTAAGCACAAAGGGAGCCCTTTGGATGGATAGCCTTAAATGCTGCTTTAATGGCTGGCTGTTCCACCAGAAAGGACTTAAGCTTTTCAGGATAATATAATGAGGGCACTAAACATAGTGCAAGGTATGGTGAGTCAGGGGACAGCACTGCACTGGGTCTCCGTGTAGAACTCCAAACTTAGCATCTCTGTAAAAGATCCAAGAGCAGGCTAGTCTCTACTGGCTAAGGTGACTCCATTTCTATTTTTAAAGGATGCTACCTAATACAGCTACAGCTGCCAAGATTAAATAATAAGACCCTTTGCTTCATGTATTGGTAACCTACCAGACGCGAGGGTACTAATCCCGTCCGACATCCTGCAGAAGCCAGCCCCGGATGAAATCAATGTGGTGGTTACAAAACAGATCCACAGTTCTTTTGTACCCTTGTACTCCTCACTTGAAAAGGTGGGTGGAACTAATGCTCTCCCCTTGAGTGTGGGATGGATTTAGTGACTTGTTTTTAACAAATAGAATACGGTGTAAACAATAGCGTTTAACTTCCAAGATGAGATCACAAAACACATCTGTGGCTTCCTCCTTGCTCTCTTCTTGGATCACTTCACTTTCTCAGAGAAGCCAGCCATCATGTCACAAGGACACCCAAGTGGCCCTACAGAAGGGCCCATGTGTCGAGGAACTAAACCCTCCTAAGCTACCAATGAGGCCTCCTGCCAACAGCCGGGGGAGTGCGCCACGTGGGAAGTGGATCCCCTAGCCCAGTGAGGCCCTCGGATGACCGCAACCTCCCGAGGCCCCGAGACAGAATCACGCAACTAAGCTGCTCTGGAGCTCTTGACCGACAGAGGCTCTGAAATACCGTGTGATGATGAAAGCTGCTGCTTTGGACTAATACACTCCCGAAGGCACAACTCACCTGTTCAAGGCCACCAGTGTGTCCCACCTGGTTTAGGTGGTTCCTTAGCAGCTGTCCAGGGTCATTCGATGTGTCCCGAGCAAACAGAAGCACAGAGAAAAATGGTACTTCCTTTCCCTTCTCTTTGTCATCGTATAGTTCAATGGCTCTGTTTAGCATTAGAAATTTTACAGCTTCATAGAGGCTATATTCCTCTTCCTCATTTGTGAACAGTTCGTCGCAAGCTATCTGCCTCGCTTCAGCAGTTCTCAGTTCTGCCAAGCCTGCCCACTGCAAGAAAGGTACATAACAATTACACGTCTGTTCTAAGAAACCCTGGTATACTTCCATACTATGTGCACAAAATTATTTTCCAAGTAGGCAACCACGGATCATGCACCAACATTCACAACATTCAAGTTTTTAGCTCAAACCATGGTACTCTTTAGACCACACAAATTCCTTATTCAGCTTTTCCCCCATTAATGTGAAACAAAAGTACAAGGCACTAAGAAGGCCTAAGGCCATGGAATGGAACTTTCAACTCCCCTAAGATCCTAGACAATGGAATTGAACTAGTCAAGGGGCACCTGGATGGCTTTGTCAGTTAAGTGCCTGACTTCAGCTCAGGTCATGATCTCACAGTTTGTGGGTTCAAGCCCCGCATCAGGCTCTGTGCTGACAGCTCGGAGCCTGGAGCCTGCTTCAGATTCTGTGTCTCCCTCTCTCTCTGCCAGTCCCCTGCTCGTGCGCGCTCTCTCTCTCAAAAATAAATAAGCATTAAAAAAACAAAAGAAAGAAAGAAATTGAACCAATCAGAGATACTTCTGGAGGGAGGCGCCTGGGTGGCTCTGTCAGTTAAGCGTCCGACTTCAGTGGCTCAGTTGGCTAAGCGTCCAACTGCAGCTCAGGTGGTCGTGATCTCAGTTTGTGAGTTTGAGCCCCACATCGGGCTCTGTGCTGACCGCTTGGAGCCTGACACCTGCTTCAGACGCTGTGTCTCCCTCTCCCTCTGCCCTTCCCAGCTTGCACGCTCTTGCGCTCTCTCTCTCTCTCTCTCTCTCTCTCTCTCAAGAATAAATATTTTAAAAAAATTTTTAATTGAAAAAAAAAATAGTCTGGAGAAGCTAATAAGGTGCATGTGAGGCTGGTATGTGAAGCTGTGAAGGGTAGCTAAAATTACTTCTCCCCTTAAGGGTTTCCAGGAGCGCTGACCACCCAGAAACAGCAAGTCGAGCTGCAAAAATGAAGCTGGGCAAGGAAGACTATGAGGTCTTTTGATCGTTAATTTACTACGGTCTTCCCTCTAACTTCTTAAAAATATACCTGGGAGTTTCAAATGCATATATCCACTCAGGAAATGTTTACTGACTCCTGATTAAGAATAAAGCAGAGTACTAGGTATTCAGCTAACAGTGGCAAAGTCTTAAGTGAGTGAGAAAACTCAATAAATATATGTGCTTTTAAGTTCAAGCAAATGAGATGAGATACTGATGTGAAACTAGTCCTGTTTTTTTTAAATGTTTATTTATTTGAGAGACAGAGAGAGAGAGAGCGCGCGCGCACAGGAGGGGCAGAGAGAGAGGGAGACAGAATCCCAAGCAGGCTCTGCACCTTCAATGCAGAGCCCAGTGCAGGGATCGAACCCACGAACAGTTAGATCGTGACCTGAGCTGAACTCAAGAGTCGGACACTTAACTGACTGAGCCACCCAGGTGCCCCAGAAACTAGTCCTTATGAGTAACCGGTAACTACTGCCCCTCTCAAAAACCATTAAAATTCTAAATTCAACAGTAAATTTTAATGGTAATGACTGTACCACAGGATTCTCTTGAATATGTGGCTGAAAGCTGGAACATCTCCTATTTTCCAGAAGCAACCAAGCTGGCAGTCAAGAGCATGGCTCTAGAGTCAGAGAGTCAGGATGGAATGAAGGCCTTCCCACCAAGCAGCTGGTGGCATTAACAGACATCTTTAAAACAGGAATAACACAGCAACTACATTTCGGTAGTTATGAGAATTAAATAACCTATTTAATAACCTAATTAAATAACCGTGTTTCACAGACAGCCTGGAACATGAGAGGTACCAGTTATGTTGGCTTAGATTATTAATGAACAATTTTAATGTCACTGTGAACTGGAATCACTTCAACATTCCCCAAAATGAGGATCTAACTATAGCAGACACAATTGATAAAGCAAAAATTGCAGTTTCACAAGACCTTAAAAGAGACGAAAAGGAAATTGTCACAAGTGGGCAAGCCGAAGAGCCTTCCCATTCACTCACACAGCCAGAAACCTGCTCTCGACCTCCCCCTAACCCAGATCCCGGGCAAGCACACGTCTCCCTGCCCCAAAAGGCTGTGCTCTATAAACCCCAAGCTCCGCTCTAAGAGGCAAAGAGAACAGAATCCCTATTTCCTTCTCTTGTCACAATTTCTTTATCTCTAGACTTCCTTTGACAGTGAACCTTCCATTAAACACTTGCGTCTGTTAATAAAAACTAAGCTCCAGGAGGTCAAGCCCTCAGCTCATTTACTACACAATATATTTACCAAATGCCTACTATGTGTCAGGCTTGGTACTCGACACTGGGTGAAAAGGAACGAGCAGGACAGTCTCTCGTGGAGCTCAAAGTCTAGCCGGACGGCAGACTATACTGGGGGAAACAGATCAACATCTGGTGGAGGAGCTAAAGGCCTCTGGAAACCGGAGCCTGAGTAGTTCAGTCCATTGAGCCTCCAACTCTTGATTTCGGGGCCGACGGGTCAGAGCCTACTTGGGATTCTCCCTCCCCTCTCTCTCTGCCCCTCCCCTGCTTGCATGAGCTCCCTCGCTCTCTCTCTCTCTCAAAGTAAATAAACTTTTAAAGGGAGGGAGGAAGGAAGAGAGAAAGAGAGAGAAAAAAAGACATCTGCCACCCCCTTAACCAGTCTCCCTCCCATCTACAAAGCCTGGAGCCATTAGCAGGCCCTCAAGCCAGGGTTCCTGGTGAAGAAAGCCTCAAGCAAGCAGCCTAGTGGACAGTGTGGGCCAGTGTGCAAGGACATCCAAACCCCATGGAATACTCCAGAACGGGAGTATTTTCTTAACCAAATCACTGGGAATCAGCCAACCAAGTTCTCCCTGTAATTATGTTTCAGAGAAACCCTCAGGACAGTTTTCAAAAGACAAGTTACTGAATTTACCCACCGGACAATCATTCAGGAATGAAAACAAGTCTAATAAATATGGGCAGAATCTTTTTTTTTTTTAATTTTTTTTTTCCGTTTATTTATTTTTGGGACAGAGAGAGACAGAGCATGAATGGGGAAGGGGCAGAGAGAGAGGGAGACACAGAATCGGAAACAGGCTCCAGGCTCTGAGCCGTCAGCCCAGAGCCCGACGCGGGGCTCGAACTCCCGGACCGCGAGATCGTGACCTGGCTGAAGTCGGGCGCTTAACCGACTGCGCCACCCAGGCGCCCCAGGGCAGAATCTTAAAACATGAAATTGGGAAGAATTTAATAAAGATGCACTTATATCACTGATAATACTGTAAGAAATACAGACTAAATACAGACTATCCCTGAAGCTTGTCAATATGACTTAGAACAAAGACTACACTTGTTTAAGGTTTCCTTTGAAGAAAGTTAAACATTTCACTAAACATAATAATCGGTGTTATTTCCCCATCTTACCAAAGACTTCACAGGAAGAGTTTGTGTTCGTTTAAATTATGTTGCCTAAAAACCTGCCATGGGCATCTGGCAATCCACTAAGTGAGGACTGAGAATTGGTCTGCTGGGGCAGTCAGGAGCGAGAGTTTTGCACTTATCAGAGAAAAAGAAAAAAACTACATGTTCCAAACCTTCTTCCTTAGCAGTGTGAGGGACTCCTTAATTTTATCAACCAGGTCCTCGCTCTTCCCCTCAAATTTCAGTCCAAGTTTCCACTGCTTGATCCAATTGTATTTGCTTATGAGTTTTTCTGGTAACTGGATTATCAAGAAACAGAGAGATAAAGAGGTGTTAGAACCAAGAAATCCATCACAGGATCCTGCAGAAACCACAAAGCCTACAAAACCTACCTTTGTTTCCAGAATTCATTCCTGCCCACTTGTCTGGGTTTGGGATGGAGGGACCTAAATCTGGAATTGTGAACTCAGAAAGCACCACCCCCCTCCCCCAACTCCAGGAGGCTGCTGGAGTCAAATGGTGCTTCTGGTTGAGATACAAAGGCAACATTCAGCTTGCTCAGCTCCAACCACAGCCAGAACATTCCACAGCACTTTGTGAGGGCACATGAAGGCAGGGTCCACATCGTGTCTTCACAAACCACACAGGCAGCTACTGGGCTCAATGGCAGCCTCCTGCCGTCCCTAATGCCCAACTTAAGAAGGCGCTTCAGGCATGCAAGATGGTCCAGGATAAAGTAAAAACCAGATTCTTTCCTGATTAGAAATATAAAGCCTAATTTCCAGTATTGCCAAATATCCCCAAAGTTTTGATATTCAAAAAAACAATGGGTATCTAGTTTAACCTAAGCCTGATCAATATCGTAAGATAAAGAACACCATGGAGAATAAGGAGCAGAGCTAACAGCCGCGGTGGCCTAGCTCATTAAACAAGTGACAGCTGACCTACTACTTTGCCTGTTTTGTTTTGTTTTGTTTTTTTCCTGGAGGGTGTTTTATTTTGTTTTCCCCTAATCAACAGAAGCTGGAGTCTGAGAGGCAAGCTGGGACACAACCCGGTCGATGACGGCATGGGAACCCCGACACTCCCAACAGTCTTGGGTGTGTCAGAAGAACATTCCTAATTAGGCTGGGCACAGGCATGTCGCTTCCCTGCTATAAAACCCAGAAAGGAAACGACAGTTCACCTCCAAGTCAAAGGATCGTTAAAGGAGAATTAATTCCTATGACATCCTACATGGAACGAGAGAGCCTGTTTAACAGTCCTGAACACAGGTTTAAATGAGGCCACAGGCTCAGTTCCCCAGGCATCTAAGACCCTGAAGACCCTTTCCCAAAGGGCGATTCCAATTTTACCTTCTCAGTCTACAGCAATCATGTAAACCAAAGGTGGTTTCCTTTCTGCAGAAAACAAAACCACACAGGGAAATTCCTCTTTAGGTAAAGTTACCCCAGGGACCACGATCCACACTCACTCACTAAGCGGGGCGGGGCTGTGTTCTCCCCATTTCCTGTGACCACCCCGCCAAGCAGCCCAGCTCCGCACCCACGCTGCCCAGCATTTGGGCAACGTGTGCGCCGTTTTGCTGCGAAGCTTCAGTTCTGCTTTCAGATCTGTCACCAGAACCTAAAATGCCCTCAAGTGGCAACAAGTTGAAATCACAACTGGGCACAAGGAAGTGCAAAGAGCAGGAAATACCCGCTACACTGGGAAAAGGGGTACAGAGAAGCCCAGAAGACCATCTGAGCGGCACAGGACGCTGTGCACATACCTAAAAAGCAGGCACCACACAAGTGAATTACTTGAAAGTCCCCAACGTTCTAACTACACACAGGGAACCCCTGACATAAAAGTCCGTTTCCTCATTCCTTCCACGCACGGGCAAACTGTTGCTAGGAAATGCCCTCGCTCAGGGGCGCATGCCTCTGGGAGACGTGGAGATCCTGGAGAAAGCCCGAGAGACAAGGTGTGAAAAAGAAACAACGAGGAAAGAATAATGCAGCTGGAACGATTTATTCAGAAGAAAAAATGGATCTACCTCTAAACGCTTTCCAGAGTCACGGAACAGGGAAGTAGCCATTCTTTTCTACCACGTACACAGACGCTGCACTTGTGCTAGAATGAGGGAGACTCAAGCAAAAAACAAGACTGAAACAAGAAACCAGGGTTGGACGCGTTTCAGAATAAAGTCGGTGGCCCGCTGAGAAGGAGTCCCACTTGTGACTCCACAACTGCCCGCTCTCTAGCAAGTGTCCACAGTCCTTGGCACCATTGCCATGATCAAAAGGACTGTAGGTTAACAACGATGCACCCCCAAAACGAACGCATGAAGAGAGCTCCGATGTACAAACACTGTCACAGGTCCCACCCGTTCAGAGACATTCTAAAACTCAGCAAAGGTGCCCTGAAGGACAACCCCCTCTCGGGGACCGAGACACGCCCCAAGTTTAAGAGCAGCCAGACGGAGCCACCTCCGACACTGGGGTCAGGGTCAGGTGGTCCAGCTGTAGTCAAATACGGAGACTGGGATCTGGAGACAGGGGCCCTGAGCAGGGTAGGGGGAGAGAGGCAGTGAGGGCAAAGCTCACACCCCAGGCTGAGACCAAAGCAAGGCCAGGGGAGAGAGCAAGGGCTTGGACTAAGGGGAGGAGGATCTCTCAGTCCAGCTCTCCTCTCTCCCTTTTACGTTCCGAAACGAGTATGTTCTAGGAAAGAGGGAAAAGGGCAAAATGCTACAGAGAACAGACCTCAATCTGCAAACAGGCAGATACAGCCAGCTAAAGGGTGCATGTCCCTTGGTGACAACATATGGCTCCTCTGGGCTCGCCCGGATTCTGGATGAGGTCAAGAGATGCTCCGCAGTGCCCGGCCTACCTCTGGGCCTACCCGACCCAGAGGCCGACATCAGTTCTCAGTCCACAGACTCACACAAGCTTAGGTGTCCCAGGACCTTTCTGATCCCAGAAGCTGAAGGGGCGGGTTAAGGGAGAGCCGGTGCGGTTCAGGAGAGGCCGAGTATGTGACATGAGAGTCCCTTGAACCTGCCTGCTGAGAGCGGCTCACCCGTGTCCCCAGAAGTGGTCAGTGCTGTCACACTCCTAAAAGCCCCACGGACACACGGTAACCACAGGCGGTGGTGCCATGAACAAACCAGGACACATGACTGTCACTGGACACAGGGTGGCGGTCAGAGGCGGTCGGGGCGCGTCAGAAAGACCAAGGAGCAGGGTAAACGGACACAGACTCGTCACCGGCTCTGCTCACGTGTCCACGACCACAAGCCCACGCCATCTCGCGCACAAGAACTTCAGACCAGGCTGTAATGGCAAGCGGGGTTTCGCTTAGAATGACAGGATACGTGTCATCCTGACGTATCAGGAAGATGCATGAGAAACGACTTTCGTACCAACACTCCTGTAAGACTGTCTTGTTCTGCAGCAACAGACTCCTTAAATATCACACGATCTGCTTCTCTTAAGCAAGCGTGCTCGCACATTCGGATTTTACAGTCAACAGGTGACTTATCACC